TAACTGAAATATACCAAACTTTATATTGAATGTAAATAAAAAAGTGTTTCATATATGAGAGCAAAAAGTGATAGATTTATCTTAGGCTCCTTCTATGATTCGGATCCTTAACAAGCCCTTTATAACTCTCAATACTTAGTACATATAAGATATTCAAAACTTCAAATTTTTATGACTCATAGTGCATTCAACACAACAAAACTTCCTCCAACATTAGAGCTCTACATATTGACATTTTTTAAGCAAATAAGCACTTATATGATTGCACTGTAATAAAAAAAATATAAATAAACAAATTTTAGAAATTTACTTAATATTTTATCGGTATGCAACAAATTCAACAACTAAACAAAGTTTCATAGTTTCCTAATTTTACCAGATTACTAGGGATTGGTCATAATACTATTTTAACATTTTAATTATACTACAAGCTTACTTTTTGCTATCAAATTATTTTTTTAATTTACTAAAAATAGTGCATTTTTCAAACTACCCTATAATTTTTTTTTTCTGAAAAATATCTAACTGCCCATAATGATTATATCTACAACATACAGAAAGTTAAATGGTGAAAATTTAGTTGGTGAAATTATTTTTTTTTAAATATGAAATTATAAATAAAAAAAAGAATTATCAAAATTACTAATTTTGTTAAATCTTAGATAGCCGGAATATAACCTACATTGATTTTAATAACTTTTGGAACTAGATCAACAACATAAAATAGATCGAAGCCATCCAAAACTTTTTTCTCTCTAAAAACTCTCCATTTCTCTCTCTAGGCCACATCTCTTAGGGATTAAAATGGTTTAATAAAATGAAAATAAGTAAATTTTAATATTTTTAATAAAAAAATTGACCTAACGTTGCAGCGCTACATACAGCTACATCATTGCATCAACCAACCCGAGAGCTTAGTGTCGCATTGCCCAAATCCAGCGTCAAAGTGTTCCCAAGGGAAAATTTCATATTTCTTACTCATGCACATAGACCTCTAGGACCTACTTCAGAATAGAATTAGACATTCACGTGCATACAAAACACTCACAGACACATGCAAGACATGTTCATAAAAAATTTTCATTACATTATCTTTATCAGACCTAGTCATAGTAGATGTAACAACTCATGGATTCAGCCAGTATTACATTTTATGTCATTTAGTTAATTTTTTTTTACATTTCCTTGGAGTGGGCTTGGGTTGTAAATTATAGGTTATTATATAGAGTGCTATTCCTATGTAGAATGGTTTAGTTTTGATAAGCCTAGGAAAGAAGGGAAAATGAACCAAAACTTTGCTAATGGGAGAGCGACTAAAATTTTGAGTAAAATGCCCTAGAAATTATGGCATGTGAAAAACAAAGTAGATGTCTTTAAGTCATTTTTCTCGTCTACTCTAAAATCTAAAGACATGTTAGTACAAAATGTGCCCACACCAAATGCAATTTTTAGTATGCATAAAATGCTTAAGTAGTTTATGACATGGAACAATGGCGAGCTCATGATTAACATTAATTATATATAAACTCTTCTATATATATATATATATATATATATATATATATATATGGAGAAGTTAATTTATAATTAATAATAATTATAAATTAATTAATTTACATAAATCAAATTTGGTTTTATTCAATACATGAAAACTAAAAATTGATTTTAAACAATATCATGCAAACAAATTCCAATTGTGCTAAATTCCTTTACTTTGGGGACTTTAATAAGAAAAAATTGCATTTAATCTCTTGGAAAAATACTTGTAAGCCTAAAGAGTTAGGAGGTATTGGGTTGCCTTCTCTTCAATCCCTCCAATTTTGCTTTAACTACTCTCTCATCTTAAGAATTTGCAATGAGAAAAGTCCTCTTAGCAGTTGGTTATTACACCTTCATGTCTCTCCTTGGAAAGACCCTATTTCAAAAGCCTCTAAGTATTGGAAAAATATCTGTAGGGATGCTAATTTGGCTAAAGTTAAATTTCATTTTAATGTATCTGTTAATTCTAATGTTGCCCTGTTCTGGGATCATTGGGTTAAAGATAGCTATATCAAGGAAATTGATGTCCTTCAGCCGTTGTTATCTGTATTTCCTGTTAATGAGAGGATTAATGTCATTATGAATGGGTATGCTTGGGACCTGCCTGAGCACTTGCCGCTGGCTATTCAGGATTATCTTTCTAGTATCCCTATTTTCTCTGCTGATCGGGATACAATTTATTGGGATGATGTTAAGGCTTGCTGACATAAGAAATTCAGGGATTATTTTCATATACATGATGTTAATGTTAATTGGTGGGAATTTGTTTGGCATAAGCATTATATTCTTAGATACTCATCTTATAGCTGGATGGCTTTATCTGGTGGTTTAAAGAATGCGGATTCTTTATTATCCAGGAATATCTCTGTGGATCCTATTTGTGCTCTTTGCCACTCTCATGCAGAATCTACCAACCATCTTTTCTTTGAATGTGACTACTCTTTTACTATTCTCTCAAAGCTCATATCCAATCTTGGTTTTTTACTGCTCAGGCCTAGTGTGCTGCAAATTTTTGAATATATCAAAGAAACTCGTGACAAGAATAAAGATTTTTACTATCTTCTTATTTGCTCTTCAATTTACTATATTTGGAGAGAAAGAAATGATAGAAATTTTGGGGATTCCGCTCTTTCTTCCACTTCTTTAACACTGAAAATTAAATCTGCATTTTTCTTTAGAATTTTGAAATGGAAAAATAGAGACATTTTGATGAAGTTACTGTAATCCTTCTTGAGAACAATATGGTGCGGTGTCTGGTGGTTCTGACCTGCTTCTGTACTGCTGGATGTGTATTTGGGTGGGCAATCCTGGTGCTGTTCTGTTTTTTACCTGCCGCCGTTTGTTTTTGCATTCTGCTGATCTGCTGCAGGTATTGGTTCGTGGGGTTTTTCGTGAAAATGGGCAATGATGATTGGATTGCCATTTTCCCCTTTGGATGGCAGGAATCTTATTTTTGCAACCAGGTTGAGAGAGCGGCAATTCCTGAGCCCGCGACATCTTTGATCTCCTCATCCTTTGGTTATTTTGTCTTGTATTTCATTCTGTTTTTGATTATTTTGCCTTATAGGTTTGTTTTGGGAATTTAATTTGTTTTATTACCCCATTTTTGGATCTTGTAAGTTTTGACAAGATCGTTTTTATTGCATTTTTCTTTCTTCATTACATGTAACAAGTTTATATTAATGAAAAGGACTTAGGCCATAATTTTACCCAAAAAAAAAATTCCAATGTGGTTCTATTTAGGAGATCTAACGTTTATTTATGAATCTAAATCTTCTCCAATTATAAGGACACCAAAAAGATTAAATTCTTTTCATTAATTAGCCAATCTAAAATTACCTTTTTTTTTAATTACAATGATTTAAAAAAAAAAGTAAGATCAATCTAAACCATCCCAAGTGAAATGAAAGACTCATAATTCAACAACATTACTTTCCTATTATCATAGTAATGGGAGATTCTTTTTATTCATTTCTTATATCTCTATTTCTCTCATCGAAAACAACTACATGGTGCATGCTCTCACCCTTTTTCTCTAAAAGCCTCGTCTATTGGATAATGTAAAAAAAAAGTGACACTTAGGTGACACTTAGCACTTCTAAAATGAAATTCTTATATTTCATGATATATTGAATATATCATCATATTCGTGTTAAAATTTAGGCTTCTTTTGGGACAACTTTCTTACCGCTTTCTAGTACAAAACATTCTAATTCAACAAATTTTTGAACTAAAAAAATGATTTAGAAAGTAGTAAGAAAGCCGTCCCAAACAAAGCCTTACTGAGTAGTCAATATCAACATACTTTCTTTTATCTTTTAGATTGGTCGGTTGCTTAGGACTCGAACCCGAAACTTAGCAGATGGAGTAAAAAAAATTTCCTTTTACTATAGAAGAAAAATATCCCTTCCCAAAACATGCATGCAATTTTCATTGCATACGACTTTCTCTATATTTATATAAAAAGAAAAAAAAAATAATGAAATATCAAAGTTGAACAATTTTTGCCTTCCCATTATCATAATTAGTTAGGATTCAAATCTTCTCTTATGCATCCCTCATCTCAAAAAACTATGAATATATTAACACCTCTTATTTCCCCTTCTAAGTGAGAAGAAGTGGCACTTCTAACTTCAAATAGTGGATGCTAAGAAGTAAGAATGTCACTTCTAAAGAAATTGCTTAATTGTTTAAAAGAAGTATAAATAGTAAATAAATCTAATTAAAATCATCATAATATATTTTTATAAACATACTCCAAAATAAATGTGTAAATACATGTATAAAAATATGCACATTAAATATCATATTTATTCACATGCTACATAAATATAATAATTTATATGATTTTGCATTATATATATATTATAAAATGGATCAATTTAATAATTTATCATCCAAAACATTATATGCCAAGTAATTTAACCTAAATTATTTTAGCATTAACTAAAATTTCTATTAATAATTACCATTTAGCTTTATAATATATTTTAATTTATTATATCATCAATTATATCACTTAAATAAAATATTACATATTTGTCTGCATATATTTAACTCAAACAATAATTTTCGAAGATCACATTTAAGATCTACGTAGGACGGCTATACTATTTTATAAATATAATTGTAAAATTTTTATGGAATAATATTTTTTTAAAACTATTATGAATGATATTAATATGTTTTTTTTTAGTTGAACAACTATTTTCTTGTAACTATCAAGTATTAACAAATTTGGTTATTAAAAATGTCTTCCTATTACAATTTTTTTAAAAAAAAAATATGATAAAAAAAAATCATGATTAAATTCTAAAAATTAAATCAATTAAAAAAATATCCCAAATAGATGCTTAATGACTTGGAAAAATGATTTCCAACTTGCGTTCCAAAAAGCAAGTTTTGTTTCGAACAGTAACAGACATTCCAATACAAAAATTTCAGCCAATAATTCATCAGACAAGCAGTCGAAAAAATCCCCTTAAGAAATCTGCAGTTCCTGATGAGAAAATATTACAGTTTTCAGGATCCGGCCTCGTTTGGCACGGCTTGATTAGTTTTTTTTTGTTCGAAACGTGATTTTTTGGTTGCTGTTTGGAACAACTACTTTTGTAAAACTCCAAATTCTTACCGATTTCCAACGTTTTTTTTTTTGGATTTGCTTATCGGCTAAGCGCCTCCGTTCAGTTGGATATACCCCCACGTCCGCACGTCTGGTTGCACGTCTTCCAACTTCCGCATTTCCGGCATGAACCACATTTCCTTCGTGATTTCGGAAAGTCCCTCCATCTTTACGGTTTTAAGTTTCTTACAGCTTCTTTTCTTCTCAGTTGCACCTCTTCCGCCCGTGGATTGCTTCGACTATCGCCGGCTCTAAGGTACATCTCGATGCCTTAGGTTGGATCATCGACTTCTTGTTTCACGGCTTCCATCGACGACTTATAGCTCTTTAGGCATTGACGAATTAATTTTGTGGAAAACCTTAATACTAGCAAAATTGGTTTTTGCATTCATTTCATTAGGGAAACTCCAATGGAACAGCAAACATTTGTTTGCCCTTCTTGCTTTGCTCCAACCGACCGTCATTTTTTAGGCCATTTGATCGTGGATGAACAGTGCGATATTGGTGTCGCATTGTTCATTTACGCCAAAAATTGGTCTTTACCGAACCTGGGGAAGAAAGGCGCGAAAGAAGAAAATGACGGTTCCGGGCAAAATGGGGTTCGATTAGAGATGAATCACGGCATTTTTTGGTTTCACTGTATTTTGGAGTGAAAATGAGATTTTCGGTTAGAGATGCCCTTAGGTTTTTACGTCAGTTTTAAAATGGAGCATCAGCATTGAACCTTTCCCATCTAAGCTTGGAATCGGTAATGGCAATTTTCAAAGAATAAAAATTGCTCATTTTTCAATTTATAATAATTTCTACTGTTTTAACTTTCTTCACAAATTCATTGTAATTCCTAATTTTTATCATTTTCAACTAAGGTGTTAGGGGCTGCAGAAAAAATTCTTCAGCTCTCCAATTTACATTCAAATTTTAATTGTTTCAACTTGCCCAACGTTAATGTAGAGAGCAATAATATATATGCATGTGGAGAAAACTTTTTTCTTATACCTATAATCGGCATCATCATTTATTGCCTTCTGACAACTCTTTAGGTTCTTCTAATTTTTATCATTCTCAACAAAGCTATTAATGGCTGCACTAAAAATCCTCTTGCTCCACAATTAACTTTTTTTTTTTTCTTTACGCCAATGGAAACAGCAACAGTAATTATGCTTCAGAAGTTCTCTTACATTGTTATTGTTGCAGTTTCCATTGAGAACACTTTTCTTCTTACCCATCATCAACATAATCGTTAATAGCTTTAAGACAATACTTTTGTATGAGCCTTAAGAATCATTATCTTGTACTGTATTCATTCCTATTACTGCTCCCTAAGGCCATAAATCTATTTTACAGAAATCATGTTGTATATCTTCTATTCAAATTAGCTTAGGCTAACTATTTTCCTAACACCCAACCAAACCAAAAGAAGTACATGAGGATGACCAAAAATAAATACTAATTAGCATCTCATCCCGTCAACAATTATTCTATAAACCGAACTCTCCTTCCTTTGGTCATCCTAATTTTTTTTCAGGATAGCTCTAATTACCATTCTAAAAGCACAACTTCTTATTTTCAGAGTCTCAATATATCACCTGTGTTAATCATTGTATCATTGTGATATGTAGATGGAAAAACAAAAAGAATGTGGTCCACCTGCTGTTTGGGATATTGAAAGCAAGCTAATCTTTTGTGATATCTGTATAAGAGAAATTAACTTGGGTAATAGACATACCACACATTTCAATAAGATGGGTTGGAGGAATATCATGAACAGTTTTAATGAACATACTGGAAGAACATATGATTGTATACAACTGAAGAATAAGTGGGATCAGTTGAAGCAGGATTATATTTTGTGGAAAGATTTGATGCGTGGGGAGACTAGTTTTGCATGGAATCCAATAAAGTGTACTATAGATGCTTCTGATGAATGGTGGAATGATAAATTACAGGTACAACAATAACCAATTCATTTAAATTCATATTACATATTAATATGTAAATGTTTCATGTAAGGCTTTTTGAACTTTTGTAGGTCGAACCAGCAGCGAAGAAGTTTAGGTTCAACGGAATAACGCCAGAGCTTCAACAAAAACTTGATATTATGTTTAGTTGCATTGTCGCAACTGGCGATCATGTCTGGGTTCCAAACTCCGGCATATTACCCCCTGAACTAACGTATGACCCACGCAATTCATCAGAGGAAACTGACTTTCAAGATGATGACACACAGATAGAAATGTCTATTGAAGAAGATGCCACATTTAAAACTTTTTCAGCAAAATCTCTAAGTACAAGGCCATTTGTAAATAGAAGAAAGAGAGTCAAAACAGTTCGGTCAGGGGGAAGACAACTTTTTCTAAACCATATTGAGGAATTAGTTAACGCTGCACGATCAATAAGTTCTGCCATAGTTTCATCGATTGCGCAACGTAGATCTGTTACAATACTCGATGCATTGAATGAAATAAATGCCATACCAGAGATATATGATGATTTGGAATTCTATTATTTTGCAATCAATTTTTTGCAAGATAAAAATAGTAGGGAGATTTTTATGGCAATTCCAATGGAACGAAAAGTTTGGTGGCTTAGGCGACAATTCAACAGAAGTTTTAAGTAGTTTTGTCTTAGAAACATTTTAGTTCTTAACGTGTTCGTTGTTCTCAATATGTTAAAAATTTAAGTTGTAGTTGTGATATATGTTTTTAATGTTATGTTTCTACTTTGTACGTCACTCTGTTTGAACATGTACTACTCTTTCCATAGGTTGTGTTTGGTTTGATAAATACAAATGTAATTTCAATTAAATGGATTATTTCTCTTCTGGTGAATTATGTAAGCTTAATATCTATTTACTTTGAAGCTTAATATCTGAACTAAACTTACATAGTTCAATTCATCATCACATACTGGCATTTCATGAATCCGTACTTAAGCCCTTGCAAGCAGGATGCTTTTAGTGTAAAATTGAGTAATTTTTCATTTATACAGTGCAATGTCTTTTACTTGGTTGTAAGGTTAGTTTACAATGACTACATTTATTGCAAATATTGGTTTCCAGTTTTTCTTGAATCACTCAGAGAAGCTGTTTCTAGTTGTTTTGGCATAAACTCCTACTGAGGGATATGTGATAGTTTAACTAGACACCTCAATGGTAGCACTAAGAGTTTTTGGTGTTGATTCTTCCGTTGATTTGTGCATTTTTTATTGGTTAGGCTATTCTGTGTGGAGAAATGAATATAAGTTTGTTTTCTGTATCTTTCCTGCTGAGCATAAAAGCTGATTGACTGATTTGCTGCTAATCCGAACTTCTTTTGTCCTTGACAGTGTTAGCTTCTGGTTATCTCAAGGTTTTTTGGTTGTTTAGTATTGAGCAATCATAATCATCATTTAATAATTCCGAAAAAAATCCATTTGTTTGTCTTGTTTTTTAATTTATTCATTTTTCAATTAATGTAAGTTTCTGATTCAGTGGTTGAGATAATTGAAGGATGAGCCATTGGAACAGTTGAACTTCAAATACTTCTATATGTATACATACACATGATATGTGCTTCTTTATGCTTTGAAAATGTGTTGACTGCTGTATAAGGGAGGATTTCTGGCTTTGGAGTGTTGATCTGTTATCATTGGGTAAAAGCATCCTGCTTGCAAGGGCTTAATTAAGGATTGATGAAATAGAAGTTCTCTAATTTTGTACTCTAATGTTAGGGTGCGTTTGTGACAACATTTTCGCTGTTGTACCTCAGAAAACACAATGGAGATGTGGCTTGGGGCAGCGAGGTCAAGCTCCGTTCTTAAAAGTTTTGCATCCCACGATTGTTTTTTCTGTCCGAAGGAAGACATAAATGCCCTTACAGTTATGTGTGAAATACCTCGTCGTCTTCTTCATCTTCGCCAAGTTTGGCTGTATCAGTCCACTTCAGCCGTCCCAAACACACCCTTAATAGCATGCTGGCATTATGTTAGTTTTATTAAAACCCCAAAGGAGCGTGCACTTTAAGGGTAGTACAGAGCAATGCTTGACCGTATTATGAGTACCTTGTTCGATTTGCTTAACTGCTGCAAGTTTTTTATTATTCAGCTCTCAGATTATCTCGATCAGTTTTGCCCAGCTTCACTAGCCGATGGATTTGGAGCTTGTGACATCTTTGCTACTCTTGATTTTTACCTTATTGGGATTAATTCATGTTATCCAAGTAACTTCTCCCAATGCGTTACTGTAGATGCTGCCTTTCCTATTATAGCTGGACTTAGACTTTTATACTATACCTTTGTTAAGATGTTTCTTTTCTTTTCTATGGAATCGGATGCTTGTATTGCATCGATGATTTGATGCGTGCTGTTTTATGGGTAGCTGTTTAATATATATATATATATATATAGGACAATCCATACATAAATTTTATAAGGAATTAGTGAATATAAATTCTCTTTCCTCTCAAACTTCAGTGTGTTCTATAGGATGTGATTTTTCTTTTGTGTTCAAACCTTCATTGTAATTTATGGAGGATAGTGATAAACCACGGTATATGCCAGATGGGCTAAGCCAGGCAGATAGGGGGGAATTCCACCCCTTTGAAGGGGGCCCAAGGAGCAGATTTTGAAATTGGAGGGGGTGGCTAGGAAGGAAAAGTGGTTGTTTTGGGATTTTGCTATTATATGCTTTAAATATTTTTTTTTCTTAGGGTTCAAAAATTTTTTTTTCCTTTATGCTTGTATTTGCTGAAATTACGTTATCTTAGTTTGTTAGGCTGATTAGGCCTCTAATCGGCAGCTAGGAATTTGGGAGAGCCGAATCTTCCTCTCCAGTTGAAGATCCACATGTATCTTGCTATTTTCTTTAATATTTCTTGCAATAAAAAGTTCCTTTGTGTGTTCTTCTTCCCAAATCCTTCTTACACTTCGTTGATTTTGTGGAAATTGCATCAAGTTCCTATCAAATTGGTATCAGAGTTGTGTCCTAGGTTGAAATATAGGATGTCCTCATTCGTTTTTGCAGTGCTTTTCTCGTTAATCTTGTTGATTTTTTGCTATTTAAAGACCAGATCCATTGTTTTTTTTTTATCATTTTTTTATTTGGAGCCTTGATTCGGGTACCTATGACAGAAAAGAAGTTAGAAGTATTGGAAGGGGAGATCGAAAAATTGAAATATAAAATTTCATATTTTCAAACTCAAAATTTAGACATATAGAAGAAGATCGATGAGAAGTTTGCCATCATGGAGCGATGAAGAAGTTTCTCGAGGGCCAAACCAAGAAAACATCATCAGAGGCGAGAGAATCTGCCGATAGCCAAGGTAGTGGAGATAACCCTAACCCGATAGGGAGAGGGGATGAATAAGTGATGGAGATCTTGGAGGGAGAAGAGAGAAGTCCTCCTCTAGAGCCCATTCTCAGGGATGAGATAGGTAGAAGGTATGGGCAGAGACGTGAGGGGATTGGGTATGAATGAGAGGTTGGGATGGTGAATTTGAATGAAAATGTGTTGATTATGATCGGAGAGGAGCTGATTTTGAAAAGAGGGAGAATTTGATGAAGGGTTTAGGTACGAGTGCAAAAGGGATAATTGAGAACACTATGGGAGGGGGGGGGACCACCCACTTAGGGAATGGAAGATTATAAAGGAAACACGGGGATTGGAGAATATCCGAGGGTGAGGGAGCTGAAGATGCCTGTTTTTTAGGGAGATGATGCACATAGATGGATTTATAGGGTAGAAAGTTATTTTGACGTTAATGAGTTGATGAAGGAGGAGAGATTGATAGTTGTTGGCCTGTGCTTGGAGGGGAAGGCATTAGAATGGTACTAGTGGAGAGACCTTAGGAGGCACATATGGAGATGGAGGGAGTTTAAGGACTGTCTGTTAGAACTTTTTCGAACTAGCCAGGGATGGGACTTTTATGAACAGTTCTTTCAGTACTTTGCCAGTCGAATGGATTGGATGTTAGAGATTGTACTGGAGGGAAACTTTATGAACGGGTTCAAACCAAAGATTCAGGCAGCAGTTAGAGTGATAAGGCCTTGTGATTTCAGAAAGGCTATGAAGCTAGCCCAATTAGTGAAGGATTATAATCACCTTGAGAGAGGAGATAGAGGCAGTAGTTCGGAAGGTTCGTATAGGATGTACTTCACTTTTTTGGCCCCTAAGGGGCTGACATAGGGTATTCTTAGGGAGACCCCATTGGAGAAGATCGTAAGAAAGGGAACCGGGGAAACATCAAGAAGCTCACTAAGAAGGAGCTACAAGAGAAGAGTGTGAAAAGTAGTGCTTTGTGATAAGAGGTATACCTTGGGCACAATAGTAAGGACCGAACTTTGTGGGTTCTCATCGTCTGTGATAATAATGAAGCTCAGGGGCGATGCGGGAGTGAGGCAATGGTGGAGGATGATGAAGAGATGCAATTAGACATGGCAGAGGTCTCCTTGAACTCAATGGTGGGATTCATTTCAAATCACACCATAAAAGTGAAAGGTGAGATGGCAGACAGGGAGGTGGTGGTGCTGATAAATAGTGGGGATACCCACTTCATCTCTAATTAGGTCATGGACCAATTTGGGGTGAAGATGATGAACACATGATGTTATGGGGTGATGATAGGCATAAGGAAAGTGGAGACAAGTAGAGAAGTGTATTGGGAGGTGGTTCTAACCATACAGGGGGTCCAAGAGAGGGATCCTTCCTTTGGAGTTAGGAAGCATTGATGTCATCCTAGAGATGAAATGACTGCAAACCTTAAAAGACACCATGGTCAATTAGGGAGCCCTTACAATGGAGATGATAGTGGAGTAAGAGATGGTGGTGATCAGGAGATATGCATGGCTATCCAAAGCTATGATTTCTCTCAAGACTATAGTGAGAACTATATATGAGGTAGAGGAGAATTTTTTTGTGGAGTTGTAGAGATTGGAAAGGATCAGATTGGTGGAGGGGGGAGACATCCCACTTTCAATACAACCACTTATACAATTATGTGAGGTCTTTCATCTACCTTAAGGATTTCCACCATAGAGGGAGCATGAGCATGCCATCATCTTGAGGGATAGAGTGCCACTGATAATTTTAGATCTATTGATACCCTCAGATTTAGAAGAATGAGATAACAAGCTAACCTAGGAGATGTTGGAGGCTGGAATCATCAAGCCAAGCGCGAGTCCTTTTTCTAGCACAATCTGACTGGTCAAGAAAAAAGGATGGGGGCTGGAGATTCTGTGGGGACTACCGAGAGCTGAATAAGGGAACTGTGCCATATAAGTTTCCTATTCCAATGATAGACGAGTTGTTGGATGAGTTATGTAGGTCGTTGGTGCTCAAAAAGATGGATCTAAAGTTCAAGTACCATAAGATCAGGATGAGAGACGAGGATATCCCAAAGACTGCTTTCCAGATACATGAGGGACACTTTGAGTTCTTGAAGATGTAATTTTCTCTCACCAACCCCCTGTTACATTCCAACCCCTCATGAATAGGGTGTTCTGATCATATCTCAGGGGATTTGTATTAGGTTTCTTTGATGACATCTTAGTGTATAGTCGATCAATCGAGGAGCATTTGAGGGTGGTACTGGAGATGTTACAAGAGCATCAGCTGCAAGTCAACATGAAGAAGTGTTTCTTTGCACAGTTCAGTGTGAAGCAAATGGGGCATGTGATATCTCAAGATGGGTTAGTCGCTGATCAGGCCAAGATTGAGGCTATACTGAAATTGCCTATATCTAGGACACTGAAG